ATTTGTTTATTAATTAGTTAATTATTGTTAATGCATAATTTAGGATTTGTAGTGATTTAAGTTAGGATTCAAACTTTATTAGTTAAGTGTGAATTATATATTATTGTGAATTAATTATATTTAACAATATTAGTTAAATGGAAATTAACTAATTAATAAGTTAAATTAGTTAATTATTGTTAATGGGATGCATAATATATATAGCTAGGGTTGAAACTTTATTTTTATTTAGTTTAGTGTGAATTATTATTGTGAATTATTTTTGTGAATTCACAATAATAATTCACAATATTAGTTAAATGGAAATTAACTAATTAATTAAGTTAAAACATTGAGGAAATGGGTTTAGAATTTGATGAGTTGATAATATTAGTTAGATTTAAATATTAGTCAATTGATCAATGATGATGATTAGGTTTAATTTGTTTATTAATTAGTTAATTATTGTTAATGATTAATTTAGGATTTGTATTAGTAGACAAATTAAATAAATATAATTAATTATTGTGTGAATTATATATAGCTAGGCCGGGTTGAAACTTTAATTTTATTTAGTTTAGTGTGAATTATTATTGTGAATTATTATTGTGAATTATTATTGTGAATTATTAATGAGATAATATTTAAAAATAATATTAGTTAAATGTAAATTAATTAACTAATTAATTAAGTTAAAACATTGAGGAATTTGAGTTGATAATATTAGTTAGATTTAAATATTAGTTAATGAATTGATCAATGATGATGATTAGGTTTAATTTGTTTATTAGTTAATTATTGTTAATGCATAATTTAAGATTTGTAGTGATTTCAGTTAGGATTCAAACTTTAGTAGTTAATAATTAAAACGATTAATGCCATTAACATATTACTATTAGTTAAATATTAGTAAATCAACGCTTTTAGTTAATGTCACAAATTAAAGTTGGTTAATTCAAATTATTAATGCCACAAATTAAATAATGTACTGCTTTTAGTTAATTAATAATATTAATGTACTTATATATTATTTTGATTATAATATATATACAGGCATAATGTATAGACAAAACAGAAGTTGGATGTACCAAAAACATCGTGATAACTATGGAATACGCAGTGAATTTTTGAATGGTGTTGAAGATTTTATTAAATTTGCACAAGAACAGAAGAATTATATGGATGGAGATAAAATCAGATGTCCATGTACAAAGTGTAAAAATCTTCAATTTAAAGATGTCGACCAAGTTGTGTGGGATTTGTACGAAAAAGGTTTCGTTGCCAATTATTATAATTGGACTTCTCATGGTGAACCTTTCGATCCATCACTTTTACCGCAAATAGTGGGTTCATCTCGTAACGTCCCTACCGAGATGAGTGGATGAGGAGACTATGATCAAATGACGTGGGATCAAAGAATGGCATATGATGTATACGGTGCTTCAACGATGCAGTTTAACCCACCACAGCCATTTAACGATCTTCCCGAAGCTTCGACCTCGTATCAACCCGATGCGGATGAAGATCAGACCTTTTATCAGTCTGCTGTGGATGAGTATCCGAATTCTCATGTTCCTCATATTGAAGACTTAGCTGAAAGATTTCAAGATGTTTTAAAAGCTGTTGATCAGCCTCTGTATGCTGATTGTGAGGGATACTCTCAGCTATCCGCCGTTACAGAGTTGATGAACATTAAATCTGAATACAATCTTCCTGAATCTTGCATGTCTAGGTTATTGCAGTCATTTGGAGGAATGTTACCGCGTGACCATAATCTTCCTGATTCATATTACAAAATGAAACAATTAATGTCTCAGTTGGGGCTTCCTTGTATAGAAATTGATGCGTGCCCAGAAGGATGTATGTTGTTCTGGAAGGATGATTTGAACTGCCGTCCGTGACAAAATCCGTGACAAACGACGTGTTTTTTTGTAGTGTGAACAAAAAATAGAAACTGATCGAGTGACGCTTCCTTCCCATGAAAGCAATTATGCCATGTTTCTATATGTGCTTCTTCACAACTTCAATTTTGGGAGCTCTTTCTTTAATTTTGTAAGTGAATCAATTTGAAGAGCTTTCATGCGTAATTTAACTATCGAACAATATAAAACAACACAATATAGTAGAAAGCAACACGATCCATGTAAAATATATTGTGTTCACTTATCTGTATATGCAGAAAAGCAGGTTATATATGAAATTCTAAATAAGAAAAAGGTAAACTTGCAAAGTGTCTTCAGTTTTAAAAGAAAATACCAATGAGCAGTATTGTGAAACCAGTAAATCGGAAAATGCTATCAAAATAGAGTAAAAACGTGAGAACAAGATCCATCCATTCATTCATTTGCAATGAAGTATATCCTAAATTTAGTTATTTTATTATCAAAATAGATATTATGATCCTGTTTGGGATAACTTAAGGTGTAAGTCCTTCAATAACGAGTGATTTCTCACTTAAGGACTTTCTTAAACACCAATTTATTGTTTTCTTAAACAAGCAATTAAGCATTCAAAGTGGCTTCATCTTTTCTGTAACACAAACACTTGTTACAGTTAAAATATTTCCTAATTTTTTTTGTTTACTCCTTTTGCCTTTTCACATTTTTGCAGGAACTCAAAGATCATCCTCTGCAAAAATTCTATTAGCTTCCAAATTTTTCAAGGTTTTCTCTATAAATTCCGTAATACACAAATTGCAGAGCACATTTGAAGGATGCACTCAATTGCAGAGCACAATTGAAGCACACTCAAAATCTGGTTTCAGAACATATTAATACTAACATCGTAGATTAATTTTAAAAACATTTGAATAGAATCTTCGCCAAATCAAAATCTATCAAAACAAGCTTATAATCAAGCAATCCAACTATAAACTCCGTAGGAATTCAAATTACTTCACAACAATATCAATGAGAGCCGGTTTGAGAGAATTTACGCAGGAGAGGAAGTTCAAAACATATAGATACCTCATGAATTTATTCTTCCAAATCGGGATGAAGGGACCAATATCTAGGTAAAGCTCTTGCCTGGACGTCACAGGAATATCCCCACACTCTTAGATCTGCATCGAAAACACATAAAGGTTGCACTCTTTACCAGTTAATTCTCTCTACTCTGCACAAATCTTAATTACACAAGTTTTAAGAGACGGAAGAAGTACGTAATTTTTATAATCCGGTGTTACTTCTGAGCTCCTCTTACTATGGTGTTGGACCATTGGTAACCTTTCCCTTTATCGCCTCCCTCTTGAGAACAATTCGTATGCCCAACAGCCCAAAGTTTAATCAACGAATATCTTAGCGTGTTTTTCATATTATGTCATTGTTAAGGGTATGTTTGGGGGCAGGGGAGATTTTGAAGGTTAGACGTTAGAGGGGAAGGGAAGGGGAAGTGAAAGAAGTTCTTATTTCTATTTGATGGTATTATCGTTTAATTCGTTATTCTTTAAAAACTCTCGAATGGAAGAAAACAACGCATTTGTGTAACAATATCCACATCATAATAAATAGGTAACCCTATTTTTTTTAGTGAAAAACGCATATATGGTCCCTCAGTTATCTACGAAATTAAAATATCAGACCTATATTTCTGAGATTGTAAATGTCACCACTCAATTGTCCAAAATGATGTAAATGTGGTCCTTTTGAGGGGTGAAATAGACAATATGAGCGAGAGTACATTTCAACACATTTCTCCAAATAGATCCCATTTCTATGATTTCTAATAGATGGTACTCAACTCGACGGGGAGACTTAAATATGTTACACATGAGTGATAGAATCGAAGAGAGACACCGACAGAGCTGAGAAGCTACGACGACGGAGCCTAGAAGCGGCGGAGCTATTGTCGAATTCGTACGACTATCATACTGTCGTGGTTAGAGAGAGAAGTGATCGCTTCATGGAAGAGAAAGTAAGGAACAAATGAAAAGCGATGCACAAAAGGAGAGATATTAAAGGTTTAGACTATTTTTGAAATAAAAAATCTAAAAGTGAAAAGGGGAAATGTTAGAGATGGAAGAAAAAATCGGAGGTCATAAGTGAAATACAAAGAGTAAAAGTGGTTCATATGGGTAATTTCCACTTTTTATTTCGCGTACAGAACTGTGTAAAATAAGAAAAAGTAATGTTGAAGTTATTTTTTTGACTGTATTGCTGAAGTTATTGTAGAAGATCATTTTAGCTATTTTTACCCTTTGTCTTGGAGGGTTTCTTTTTACCGATTTAATAAACCAGCCTCTTTTTTATTGTAATTTGGCCTAGCAATACGAGCCATGAACGTTGGTGACATCATACAACTGAGGTCAAACAGTTAGTGGTTGTTTGAAGTTTGTAGCTCGGTCGACTTTATCTCCTGTTCTCCTTAACTTGATAGGGACCGTCTAATTAATTTGGAAGCCCTCTTTCAAATGGAAAATTGAGACTCCCTTAAACAACAAAATTACAAATTTGAACAATGAAATACATGTAGATTAGAAAGTTTAATAAAATATAAGTTTTATGATGTTTAAAGTGCATAAATTAGAAAATCTAAAAATTATATACCTTTTGAAATATTCCCAACATCTTGAAAAATACATAACATCTATAAAAATATCTTATAACTAATGCGTAGTATTACATTCTAAAAGTTTGGGAGCCTGAGTGGGCCCCAGTGCCAAACACCGTACTTCCTAAAAGACGGTCCTGAACTTTATCCATTAATCCATCTCATGATTTCATTCTCTTGCATTTCTGTCCAAGCTATTTTTACCCCTTTGTCTTGGAGGGTTTCTTTTTACCGATTTAGGGGGTGTTTGGATCTGATTCTTAAAACTGCTTCTGCTCCTTCAGGAAGCAGAAGCAAAAGTTGGAGTGTTTGGGTGAAAATGCAGAAATGATTCTGGTGCTCTAATTTACTCCTAGAATCAATTTTTTTAGAAGTTGGGAGGTACCAGCTTCTGAAAACTGATTCTGCTTATGCTTTAAAAAAGAAGCAAAGCAGAATCAGTATCAAACACCCCACACTCTTTTTTATTTTATGGTAATTTGGCCATAAAATACGAGCGAAGACATCGTACAACTGAGGTCAAACAGTTGGTGGTTGTTTGAAGTTTGTAGCTTGGTCGGCTTTATCTCCCGTTCTCCTTAACTTCATCCATTAATCCATCTCATGATTTCATTCCCTTGCATCTACTGTCCAAGCATCCGAATGGTAAAAAGCTAAATCCTCACTCAATCTTCCTCTCGCAAGTGAATTAGGAGCACAAACAGTAATCAAACGGATTAGGAGAATTGCAGGTGGGAATGCTGTTCCCTAAGGAATTTTGGGTCGCCATAGTTGCGGCGGCGGTTTTGTGGAGCGCCGGAGGAGCCTACGGGATCAGATTCGTCATTGACAGAGAGGAGTGTTTTTCGCAGAAGGTGGAATTGGGGGAGACGGTGCATTTTTCATTCGTGGTGATTAAATCCGAAAATTCTTGGCGTTACAGTGAAGACGGCGTTGATCTTTTGGTATTAATTTACCTTCCCATTTTAAATTTTCCCGCTTTTTTTAATCTTTAATTCTAGATTAATTTCTCTTTGTTTTCTTGTGTGTAATTAATTTATCAATTTGGCTACTAGATGTGTGACTAATTACTCACGCTCTTATTATGCTTCAAAAGCATGAATCTGTGTAGGCTTAAGTTAATTATTCAGGCTTACTTAAGCTAGTTAGTTTTTATGATGCTCAAGCTCGGGTTTAACTGTTCAAATTAAGCTCGGATATTAAAAAACTCGAGTTTGATTGTTCAAGTTCGAAGTCAAGAAAGGAATATGGTACTTCATTACAAACTTTTCTTGATGATATCTTTCACTTTTGCTCTCAGTTTGATGTTGTTGAATTTCTCGTGTAAAAAGAGGAGGGAATTCAGTTGCTCACTTGATGGCTAGAATGATGCCTGGTAAAGCTGTAGAACAGATAGTTGTAAACGACCTTCGAGAGAGTATTATTACACTAGTAGAACTTGTGATGAAGTAATATAAGCTTTCATTCAAAAAAAGTGGGAACTCAAGCCTGATTATTACAGTGTGGTTGAAATAAAAAGTGGTGTTCCCTTGAAAAGTGCGAACCGGTATACACGCACATGAAGTTCAAACTTCAAACTGAAGCGAAAATACCCTGTTATATGAAACTCAGTTATACCGGTAGTAGTACAAAGTACAAACAGAATTCAGATATTTCATTTCCCAATGAAACGAGTTCACTAGCGGCCTATGAAAAACATGCATGTCTGGGCGATCCCCTAAGCATTGGATCCAAACTTAGCGACTGAAATAGCAGAAAAAACTGTCTTTCGTTAGTAAAAATGCATTTTTGCTCATGATTGGGAGTTGGGACATAATTGTCCATTCGAAGCTTTAATAATCTTCTTCTCTGTGCTAAAAAGCAATAAAAACTGAAATGTAATCAAAAAAAATCATTTCTGTACATTACGAGGATATGAAGAAACAGGGTTTAGGAAACATGAACTGTGAGCTACTCCCTCCGCCAGTCCGCCCCTATCTTTGCCCCAATTTAACCTTTTTCGTCCTACCCACTGAGTTTCTCCCATACCATATTTGGTAATGTTTGGGTGGTTGCAATCCATTCTTACTTTATTCACCCTTTATCAATTCAATACCAATCACACAATTCCACTTTTCTTAATAATTGCATCACTCCTTCTTGTCCACATATTTGTTTATAAGGCATAAGTTTCTTGCTTGAACATATGTGATAATACAGTAGCAACCAGTATACCATTTTCTCTTTGTGAACATCGTTGGTGTTCCATGCTTAGCTCTTTAGTATGGTTTCTAATTTGGTGTTTTGGTATCGTGTGGGAATCATCAGGTGAGTGGACCACATGGTCAACAGATTCACGATGTGCGCGATAAAATCAGCGAGAAGCATGAATTTATTGCTAATCATGATGGTGTACATCGTTTCTGTTTCACAAATAAATCTCCGTATCATGAAACTATAGACTTCGATCTGCATGCTGGGCACTTTATATTTCTTGATGAACATGCAAAAGATGGTAACATTTCTTGCTTATGCGGTTGATCATCGTCAGTTAACTCAGTTTTTTTCTTTTAAATTTATTCTAAATTGTGACCTTTGTGGTTTGGCACTTGCAGAACATTTCAAGCCTTTGTTTGAACACATCGGAAAGCTTGAGGAAGCTTTGTATAACATTCAGTTTGAGGAACATTGGTTGGAGGCTCAGACGGACCGACAAGCAATAGGTATACACTTTTTCATACTTTTTTGTTAGGAAATTTCTTGAGATAACCCTAATGTTCAATGTATTTATCAAAACAACCCTTTCATGGCCGTTTTATAAATACCTCGAGGTAATAACTAAAACATTGTGCATTGCTTAACTGACTAGAAATTTGAACTCTAAAGTGCATGATGCTTATGTCGTAAGCCTGTATGGTAAGCCATGAATGACTTTGGGGTAAAAAATAGACGTGCCAATCTGATAATACTTCATGTGCCTGTTGGCCACATAAATTGGAAGTTGCTTTTTAAAAAAATTAGGGCATCCCCACAAGTTCAAGTGTGTAAAGTAGTTGCTATATATCACATTGATTGGACAAAATCGAAGCGAAGTACCAATAAGATGCTATTGGGTACTGACTTGAGACACTAAAAGGCTCGTTTAAAAAGCAAGGGGTCGAAATTGCCAAATCAGGATACTTGGGGATTCAAAACTAGAATTACATCTTGATATTTTGAAATAGAATTAAGTAGATTTGGGCAATATATAAGAATTCACAGTATTCGAAATGGAGTTATCATGAACTGTAGAAATAGGTTCGGAATATTCCAAATTAATGAATAAGAAAATTTAAACAATGAAAACAAAGATCAACTTCTTGGGATCCTTACCTTATTAAAACGGAACAAAAAGAGATCAAAGGCCGCACCTATGGACTCTCCCTTCGCAAGCTTCCTTGCATGGACAGCTACCTAGCCTTTCGCGTAGGTAGACTCAGTCCTTATTTATTCTCTTCTTTCTATGTCTCAAACCAAAGAACAACCCATTGCCCCTATGTTTAGATAGTACTGGGCACATTGGTTCTTACGTTATGTGTTTGGTTGCAGTAAACGAAAGAATGAGCAGAAAGGCAATCTACAAAGCTTTTTGGGAGTCTGTAGCTCTTATTGGTGCCAGTCTTCTGCAAGTTTATCTTCTTAAGCATTTGTTTGAGCGGAAGCTGGGGCAGTCCAGAGTTTAATCTTGGGTACTGATATATCTATTGTCCTTGTTATAGGAAAAACTAATAGAAAATGTCATCGATCCTTTCATTATTTTTGCAAGTACAAAAATTCCTATCACCAATATTATTATGTGAAAATTATTTAATTCTTTATATTAATCATCTCCCATTCCGGGTGGTTGTGAGTTCCCTTAGATGTGTGAAGGGAAGAGAGCTGAAACATCCCAATACTTAAAGATTGAATAAAATAGAAATATTGACACATTTATCAGGAAACGAATAAACGTACTGACAAATAGCTAGATTTAATGCTTTTTGCCAAAAGCTAGATTTAATGCTTTTTGCCAAAAAGCTAGATTTAAGCTTCATCAGAAAAAGAAATAAAAATCACAGACTCAAACAATACATACTCTTTGGTTTCTGTGAATTATCTACGGATCTGAGGTATTCGTTTTTGTAATTTTTACCTTCCTAAAATAACAGACAATTTGATCATCATTACCTAAATCATTAATAAAAACAGACAAAAAGAGTTCATCATACTAGTGGATATACTACAGCACAAAAGGTTAAATTTCATGCAATCGTCTTTTTTTACCTTTGCTTTTCACTTCAAGTGTGTTGCAAGAACAGGAGAAATAAAATTCCCTGATTTCTCGTTAGTCATTAGAGTACAGCTCTGCTTGCGCGCGCACACACACTTCTTAAGTTCTCCCGTTCTGCATTAACCACAATTGTTTGACATTCGTGTTTAAGTACCCAGTCATTTATATTAAAATTTATATGGGTAAAAGTAACTAAAAAATTGAGAATTTGAATTTATATATATCACGACAAATCTAACAACATTTCATATAATGTGCTGAAATTTTTATTTAGTAAAAATATATGATCAAAATATACTATATGAAGTGTCAATGTTAAACTCTTACCTCCATAATGCCTTATAATTAAACCAGGTAAAATAATATGTGGCCTCCCATTCTTCCGTCTTTAAAAAAACTACTGCATTTTAGACTATATTAATCACTCTCTACCCAGGGAATGCAAAGAGGTCTGTCTGTATGTCTTCCATTAAACGTTTCACCTCTCTTATGATTGATGAGTGATTGCAAATATATGTTGAGCATAATGTCTAGCGCTTTTGTTTCTCGATAGGTGATTTATTTTTTAACTTGTCAATTGTCATTGTAAGTTATTCTAGAGTGGAGTGAAGCAAAGCAGACTACCAAAGGATTTATTTTTGCAGTTCAGGTTACACTGTATTTATAGTGTATGGGACCAAAATATAGTAGTGAAAATAATATAGAAATGACCAACTTTTGAAAAGAAGGAAAGATTTTTCTGGAAAAAATCATGGAGCACGTAAAATTGAAAGAACAAGCAAATAAATAGTTGTTGAAAAAAAGCTTGAAGACGCTTATGTGTTGAAAAATCAAATCTTGAAGATTAACCAAAATTAAACCCATGCATCATCATCAATACTACGTACACCGGTTCGTATAAAGAAAAGGCCGAATTAATCAACACATGCAAACAGTAAGATCTTCATCGCCTTCTTTGCTGCACCTGTGGTTTTACTCTGCTGCCACTTGTCCTTCTGCTTTGCAGCAGCAATGACATAGACATGAAGAGGCTGGGAAGGCAGCATCTCCAGAAAAAAACCGCCGCCACAATCGGTTGTCGGTGAGTGGCATAGAAAGATACCCGTCTTTGTGTCCGGCAAACGTTGTCGGGTACCTTCCAAACAGAGACATCACCTAGATGACGGGAAGGGCTTCATAGGGGTGCTTGGCTTGAACAAGATTGTAGTCAGTACCGAAAAAGGTGCGGAAATTGGTCAAATAGTAGTGCCTTGAAGCATTGAGGTTTGGGGTTGTGTAGTCATCAGACTCATAGGGAGTATATGTGTAGGGAGACCACACTAGGAGCAAACCTTCAGGCATTCCGGGGACAGCATCCAGATTAGCAGCATTATCAGAGCCATCGACAGTTTTAAAACCAATAAAAGATTGAATATTACACAGAGTGTTAACTGGACTTCTGATGGTCAAACCAGGAAGGGTATTCAAATCGTTAAGATTGGGATTAAACTGCGGGAGCACAATCATGGATCTATCATACAGCAGGGAGGAAGCAGGCAGACAGCGGGACCGTAAATTGGGAGGGGCTCGATTGAGTGGTGGAAGAACATAACCAGTAGCGCGGGGACAGAAAGAGGACCCAGGTCGAACGTACTTGTAGGGAATTGCGGAATCAGCGAACATGCAATTTTGCATGCCAAGAGACTTTGCAGCATTGGGCATTTCAACAGTAGAACCATCGAGTTCAAAAGACTCGATTATTTTTCCAGCAAGCAGGGGGAGATGGGCAGACAGGGTTTGTTCACCATCAGTGTCTAGGACAAGAACGCTTGGTGCAGTGTAGAGTTCATCATGAAAAGAGACAAGATCTTCATTGTTATCGCGGGGAAGACCATTTTCAGCGGCTGGGCGTTGGAGAAAGCAGATGTCTTGGGCACGTTCATCTTCAGAAGAAAGGTTAAAAGTAGTAATGGCAGCAAAGAGGGCAACTTTGTTGTTGTTTTCACTATGAGACCAGGTCGGATGAGCATAAGTGGAGTACCCGTGTTTGACAATAGTAGACGATGAGGCTTTAGAAATAAATTCACTCAAAGAGGATTTACAGACAACGGTTCCAGAGAAGAGGGCAGAGATGGGTTGAAGTACAACTTTTAGTACGCGCAAGTTAGCGGAGGTAGCACAGCAGATCATAAGCATTAACGTCATTGGTGGGAAAAACGGGAGCTTTGAACGAAAGAGCGGTGAGAGAGGATCGGCGCTGAAAGTTGCGGAATAATACATGATTGAAAACTTGATAAAGCTTAGAGTTAATGTAATTCGCAGTGGTGACAGTGGTTCGTTCAATTGTTATCCCAATAAGATCAGGAATAATGCAATCGAAGGCAGGGGCGCGGATGGAGTACAGCACACGGGAGTACAGGTCTTGAAGGACTTGGTTTCGTGTGGAGTTACCAGGGAGAGTAGCAATACAGTCATGAATGGCAGCGAAAATGTTCAAAGGATAAACACGCCCAAAGAATTGGTCGTGATCAAATCCAGCAGCAGAAGGCACGAAGAAGACATTCTTCGTGCGTTCAGTTGCAAATGAGATGAACTGGGACAGAATGGGGCCCAAGAATTCAGGAACAGGGAGGGATAGCAGGAACGTAGCAAAATCATTCCTCCACGAGGTTTGAGCCCAGACGCGGGCGTGAGCAGACGGAGCAGGGCGGACGTAGAGATCATTCAGCAGAAAGAATCCATAGACAATGGTCATGTGATACATGCAGATAGTAGCAACAGATGAATGGGAATGTTCACGAATGCTTTCAGCATGGCGTAGAGACATGAGCATGGTATAGATCAGGATGGGAGTCATGTTTGGGAAAACGTCAATGATCCATTGATTAGAGCCAGAGTCGGATCGAGCAGCAGAGTTGGCTCGGAAGAGACCGAGTATATCAGCAGAGGAGTCTGGAGTCTTCACATCTGTTAGGATCGTATCCGTCTCCGGCTCTGATCTCCAACCACTCTAGACTAAACTCACAGACACCCTCTAGGGCTAGGTCACAACATCTCCCATGTTTACTCACTCTTGTTCACTCCACAAAGGAACTCTCACACAAGGAAAGGAAGAAGGAAGACACTGCTCTCTGGGATTATTTACGCAGGCTTCACTCAAAGGGGCAAACAAAAGGACTACAAATAGGCTGCCAAGGAAAGTCACGGGTGAGGCTAATCAACAGGGTGTCACAGGCTGCCAGACAGGAGGTGCAGCGGACAAAAAAAAAAAAAGGGGGCTCACATATTGTAAGTCAACAGGCACCAATGAGTGATTTCAACTAAGGGAATCAAAGTGGGAGTAAACATGGGGTGCAAGCCTTAATAATAAAGTGGAAGGGTGGCCTTGGTAGGACCAATACCTCCAACATTCTCCACCTTATTGGTCCTAGGTGGTGTAGAGTAGCAAAACAGGTTGTGAGGAGACTCATCATCATCGGGTCACCCGGAATATCAACAGATAAAACGGGCAAACACTTTATTACGCAACCCACAGTTATCCACAGTCAAAGTTTAACACGCGTTTACAGGACAAGTGCTTCTCAGCAGAAAGACACTTGGTACCCATATCCGCAGGGTTAAACTCTGACGGGATCTTGCACATCTTGACTCCACCTGCATCAACAATATCACGTATGAAATGGAACCTAACATCAATATGTTTAGTTCTATCATGAAATACAGGATTTTTGCAAAGTTGGATAGCCGATTGGCTATCCGAGAAAATGGTAACTCCCTTTTTGAGAAACCCAATTTCGGAGACAATGCGTTTGAGCCAGATGGCTTCCTTAAACGCTTTTGTGGCTGCAACATACTCGGACTCAGTGGTAGAAAGGGCCACAATAGGCTATAGTTGAGACTTCCAACTAATGCAAGAGCCACACAAAGTAAAAACATAAGAAGTGGTCGACTTCCTGTTATCTCTATCATTTGCATAGTTAGAATCAACATAACCAATCAATTCAATACCACTAGCACATTTAGAGAAAATTAATCCATGCTTCACAGTAGAAATCAGATATCTAAGCAACCACTTAAGAGCATTCCAATGGGGCAAACCAGGGTTGGACATATATCTACTCAAGCAACTAACCGCATATGCAATATCAGGTCTAGTGCTAACCATAAGATACATAACCGACCCTATTGCGCTGGAATAGGGCACAGATTTCATTTTCTCAATTTCAGGAGCAGTCTTGGGAGACTGGTCTTTACTTAACACAAAGTGAGATGCCATAGGGACATTAACAGGAGAAGCAGATAACATATTGAATTTACTCAAAACTTTTTCTATGTAAGAAATCTGATTCAAAGTAAGAGTGCGCTTACTCCTATCCCTAACAATGTTTATGCCTAAGATCCTCTTGGCATCACCTAGGTCTTTCATGGCAAAATTCGCACAAAGACATTTTTGCACATCTTTAATAGCATTCAGAGAAGGACTAATTATCAGCATGTCATCCACATAGAGTAACAAAAATACAAGCACAGAGGAAGTATTCTTGAAATACAGGCAATGATCACAAACAGATTTTTGGAACTTCAAAGATATCATGCATTTATCAAATTTGATGTTCCACTGCCTAGGGGATTGCTTCGGGCCATACAATGCCT